GTGCATATGTATATGGAAAAAGGGCATCCTTGGTCCTTGAGATACCCGTAGAGACAACTCAGTCCCTCAATTATGATCGTATCAATTTTTAACCCCTCAATTATGAGCGAAGTGATGTGTTTGGTCTGGCTCTGACGATAGGGATCCGTCTCAACATGACGGAGAAGTAGAAAAAAAAAACACTTTAATATTTGAGGGGTAAAGTAAGAAATTCACATCTTATTCTCCTTATATTGAAATCAATTTTGTGTCATTATTTTTGACTTCCTAGGCTCTTATTTCAAGGTTCTTCAACTCCAAAGCATTTCAATAACCATCGTATGACTTGTTAGAAACCCGAATCTCGTATAAGGAACATAAGACTCAATACAAACAAAGGAACACTTGATCACCACCTTTAGGCGTTTGAAACACACTATCTTAAAGACTTCTAATTTCCATTACTAAGAAACATAGGGTAATCAAACCACAAATTTTGAGATACAAGAAGATCAAATTTCTCACGTTGTTTTTATGAGAAATTCACAAAGGAAGTAACTTTAGAGTTTTAGTTGATAAAAATTTATTTGTAAACTCTACAGTAACTTAGTCAAGAATAGTATATCCTAACAAAATATAAAAATTTTATTATATATATCCATCATCACATCCCGACATCCCTTATATTCTCTTAAAAACCAGAGTAATAAATAAGGTTATAAAAAAATTTTGTAACTAGCTTCTATTAATGTGTTTCACATGCCTGAAGATGACTTAAGTTTTCATAAAATTTGGAAAAATGATTTTTTTTTTGTCCTTGAATTCTTTACATAGCCACTTTTTATCCTTTTAACTGTTACCATGGTGGTTCTTTCTACTCATGGCTAGATGGAAACATCAAAACTTAATAGAAGTATTGCACTGCCCTTCTTATTCCTTCAAATCTCTCCTTTAAAGCATTCCACTTCTTATTCCCTCACTCAGGTCATTTTCACTTTTTTTTCTTAAATATTTAACTGAGAAAAAAAATATACAAACTGTCCCCCACGTACATTAAAGTCGTATAAAGAAAAAAAAACAATAATGTTAATACTCCAAAACTATAAGTTCTATTTATTATTTTTGTCTACTTAATTAATTAAATTTTGTAACTAGTAATTAAATTCAAAATCTAGAAATAAAAATTGTATGTATACCATTATTCTTCCCATTTATAATTACTATTATTCATCTTCCTTCATTTAATTTCTCTATCCGTTTAACGGACCAAGTCCATCCCGTTCGCTCCGAAAGGCACAGGAGTTGACCCAAAGAAAATCATCAAACTTGTGGAAATCAAACTCGGGTTATCCCAAAATTTTACCATACAAAGAGAGCTCATTTATCACTTAAGATACTTTGTTGGGTTATTATGTATTGTTTTATGAGTCAATTGATTTAAATTCAACATGACGACACAAATTAGAAAAAGTTAAATGGTATTCTATATATACCTGTTGTTCAAACAAACAAACAAAAAAAAAAAACAAAAAAAAAAAAGAAGAAGAAGATATAGTTATACATCTAAATTTACTTTAAAAAAAAATACAAAACACGTCGGGAATTATTATTTTTAGTATGACACCAAAAAGATTTCAAAGTTTAGATTTTTAAAATTATATGAAAATATTATATTTAAAAAATGTAAATAAATGCATTAAAAATTTAATTAAAATTAAATTGTGGTGATGGTTGAGAGATAAAATATGAAACATAAAATACAATAATTTTGACATACTTTTTTTTTTTGAATGTTACTGGCTCTATTACATTGTAGTATCTGTTCATATACTTTCTCAACCTACTGAAACACAAAGAATAAATCATACTTTAATTTGTAATAATTTAATAGAGAACCAATCATTTGCAAGATTCAAATATTTGCATATGTTTTAATGAAGCTAGCTTTTGTGTTGGCAATGATAACCTTTCTCTTTAAGGTGTACTTGTTGGAGAGTAAAAATAATGGGAATGCTTTAAATGAGAAATTTAAGAAATTAAGACATTCTTAAATATAAATTAAACTTTTACAAATAAATAATTATCACACTGCCGTATATAATGTATCTGTCTATTTTGAACATAATCATCATACTGTAACTGTCGAAGTTCAAACATTAATCTTTTCTCTTAAATACTGCCTACTGCATCATTGTGTTAAAGTCCTAGCACGCTTCTTTCTCATTTGTCTTCTCTGAGAAAATTGTTTTTGTTTTTCTTTAATTCCATGCATTGATTTGTATGCATTTGAAATCCATGCCATCGACCCCTACAGCCTAATGCCTAACCCCACCTGACAGAGATTTGGTAGTCTGATTTTAATTTATTACCCATTTTATAGAGTACTTATTATTATGTGCACAGATCAGAGCTACCATAGCTTCTATATGACTATATATATATGTGTGCATGAGAGTGATCGAAGTTTTTTTTTTTTTTTTTTTTTTTTTTTTTTTTTTGGAAAAAGAGTGATCGAAGTTATAAGCTCAGGAGTTAGGACCACCCAAGCTATACATACATGCATGAATTCAACTATGATCTTTAATTTGTAATCATTCTTTGTCCGATCCTGCAATTCTTCTTCAAGTTTATAATAAACACCATTCATCAACTCGATCACAAAAGTCTAAGGGACCCTACCCTTGCCTTTACTCCTCTTCAATGCAAAATCAATTTTCAAATCAACCAAACAATTTGAAACTAACTCATTTATTAAAGTTTTTCTATTAAAAGAGACATCGTACCGGTAATAAGAATTTTGTCAAGTTGACAAAATTTAAGATTTTTTTTTTTAAATGAGTTGATGTCTATTGAGAACAATATACTTTGAGGTAGTTTAGTTTTAAAAAAAAAAAATGTAAGATGTATTTAATTTTCGTTTATTTAAAAGTGTTGTAAAAGTTTATTGATAATGATGTTATATTCATTTCAACTAGCTAGGCCAATATTTCATAATAAAGAAAGAAATCAAGATTTAAGATTATTAAACTTTTGGCTTAAATGTAACATTAAGAGAAATGGTAAGATAAGAGGTTCGGTTATGATTTTTCTTAAATTAAATTTATCCTTAAAAAAAAAAAAAAAAAAAAAAAAAAGGAGAATATGTTCCTATTACGGGGTGTTTGGGTGGGAAGAAGGAATTAGGAAGGAAAAGAATTGCAATTCGGTGGGAAAAGAATAAGGTAGGAATAATGTAAGAATTCAAATTACATAATTGTTTGGTATGAGGAATAAAATTATTGAGAATGAGAAGGAAAAAAAAAAAGTGATATCCAGACTAAAATGTCCTTTGTGTAATAAGAAGAATAACGATCATCAAGGGTATTTTTGTCATTTTATCCACATTTTCCTTTCCCAAAAGCATTGAATTGCAATTCATGATTCAACAAAAGGAGGGAATTGCAATTCCCAACCGAACACTGTAATTTATCTTGCAGTGGAATAAAGTAGGAAAAGAATTACAACTACATTCAACCAAACTCCTCCTTAGTGTTCATCTTCAATGTATGTTTATATAAAGGGAAAAAATCTTGTAAAGGTAGAAGTTGATGATTCTAATTGAGAAGTCTCACTTAAGATTTTCATGAACATTTAACGGTAGATTGGAGTTCAATCTCTGTCATGAACAATTGAAGTTTGAGTTTGGGATGAATTCTTTGTGTGGGGAAGTGTACAGTTTGGTGTTAAGTCTCAAAGCTAGATAAATTGTTGAATCTCAATTCTAGATTGTCTCGATTTACCTCTTCATAAATCTAAGGACAAGTTCATAGAGAGTCTAATACTTATGATATAGTTCGATAAAATCGAGATACCTGATTAAAAAAAAAAAAGAATGAAAAAGAATTGATTCTAATTGTGTTACAGAAGAAGCAAACAACACACTACTTCCAATTGTTTAAAAAAAAAACACACACACACACTACTTCCAATTCTACCTCCATACCCCAAATAGTACAAAACCATTTATCACATTTCTTAATAATAAATACAAATGCATGACCCCCCCCCCCCCGATGCTCTGCATCCCCACCTTCTGGAAAACTATCCCCAGCCTTTCTGGTCCAAGTAAAATTATTCCCTCTGCAATGTTACGTAGTCACCTAACAAAACAACAGCACCAAACTTTTTTTAATTAATTTCTTTATTATTATTAAAGTTTTTAACAACATCCAACATGCAATATAATACTACCACTACTACTACAAGACACATAACAAACTATATAATCCTTACTTTTCAAATAATTTCTAGATCAGAGCACAATGGCATGCAACACATAATTGTTGTTTGTTTAAATATAAAAAGACGTCAAAAGTCATTAGTTTAATTTAATAAATTATTATTATTATTGTCATGTTTCATCTAAGGATGTCCAACGACGTACTGCACGCCTGCACCAATCATTCGTGAAGAGATGAGAAATTGCCAGGTTGATAGTTTGTGTGAAATTTTGCTAAAAATTGTCTTATGGTTGAATGAAAACTGAAAGGAGTTATGGAATTTTTTTTAATTTTTGACATAAAATTTACTCAAATACTTGGTGTTAGTAGAAATTTGTTTATATCTTTAGAAGAGACCCGCATCATCTCATTTGTAGGTAATATTGAGATAGTTTAGGAAGTAGAGTAGGACAAGAGGTCACTAGAGTAAATAGGTGGTAGGGGAAGGGTACGAGAGGAAGTAACTACTAAAATTGGATTATTTAAAAAAAAAAAATGGATTGGTGGAATCCGGGTTGGGTTATAGGCGGGTCATTCATACCCGTTACCTGTCGCTCACTCATTAGCTATCTGATCTGTAATCACTTTCATGACCCTCTGACAGATCTTCTCTAACGGCATTCCCATGTGCCCTGTCACCGTAACGGAGTCTGGACCACATGTTCTGTTCATCCCACCGTAATACCCCTTTTTCCACCCTCAAATCCCCACTTTGCCCCTCCCCAAACTTCTCTTTTTCCCTTTCTGCCCATACCCACTCAGAGTGACACACTACTCACTTTTCACACATACACTGCATGTATATATCGAGACGGTTATATATATACACATATACATACATTCATTCAAGCACGCCGGCCTCTATGTATGACTTGCAGAGACGACGGATGGAGGAATATTTGAGAAGATGTGAGAGAATGGGGGAGACGGCGGCCGAGATGATGGATCAGTTTAGCGGCGGAGATGGAGCTTTGAGAACGACTATGGCTGTTGAGGCGGTTACGAGCTTCCGCTCAAGGAGGAGTGAGAAGTCCGTTGGTAGTCGCGACGAGGAGGAGGAGGACGGTGAGCTCGACGTGAATTTCTCGGGAAATTCGGTGTCTCCGGCCGTCTCTGCGACGTCCGTTCGTGCTCCGTCAACGTCGAAGAGCTCAGGCGCCGCACGTCGCAAGTCAAGAGAGGTTGCGAATGACATCTGGAGATCTTTGGATCTGCAGGTTAAACGTCTTCAAAATTTAAATTCACGTTTATTTCGAGTGTAATGCTCTTTCAAATTTCATTTCTCACGCTCTTTAACTGCTTACACTAATAGTACACTTTAAAAATTTTTGAATTTCAGGAAGAGGATTTCGTAACCGACAATTCAGATTATTATTTCCATTGCAGTTTCAGGTATTTAACTCTCGCTTCACTCAAATTAATTTTCTTCATTATCACAGCGCCTCTTCATTTTTTTGAAACTGATATATACATATGAATCGTGAAAGACGACAATATATGTATGTAGCGCTAGCTATCTGTGTGAAATCATAGCTGTTCAAAATCTTCAAATTCATTCAGACTCATTTAATTTGTCTAAATTTTGCAGCAGAGAGACGACTCCAAGTAGCGATCAGCATCGCGGAGACACAGTAGAGGCAGAAATGGAATCCCCGGCAAAGCCGAAAAAGAAATCCCGAGAGGTAGTGATGAATCGTCGAGGTGGGAAGCCGGCGGCAGGGAATAAGGCACCAGCGGCGGAGATAGAAGAGTTCTTCGCGGTGGCCGAAAAGTACGAGCAAAAGAGATTCCAAGAAAAGTAAGTGCAAAAAATAAAAAGTAGCGTCTCCGATCCCACGGAGTGCGCATGAGAGGATGAATTATCACAACACGTGCTCCATCCATCAACTCATAATAATTACATTTTACCTTCAATAAACAAAAAAGAAAAAAGAAAAAAGAAGTTGTAGCTATATATAGTACTGCATTATTACTACACATATACGTACTAATAATACAAAGATTCGATATAGCGGCGGGCGGCGGATGATGGTTGTGGTTGTTGTGGCGTGCAGGTACAACTACGATATCGTGAAGGACGCGCCTTTGGAAGGTCGGTACCAGTGGGTTCGGTTGAAGCCTTAGTCTCGATCAGATCAGATATATATGCACCAGAAGAAGAAGATCGAAGATCAGATCAGATCAGAATTAAAGAGACAAATGTAGGTTAACTTTTGTTATCCATCCATTATTCATCCATCCCTACCTCCGTTCTTTTTAGTCAAATTTAGCTTAATTAGCTGTCGTCTTTGTACAGTACGTATGTTCATTTCCACCGCCATTGACGTACTCCATCTCCTTTCCATTTCTACATTAATTATTTTGCATGCAATGGTATATCTTCAGCTGTATCTTTTGAGTATTATATGTCGACAATATTTATCTGCATTATATTTCATTTCTTCGTTGGCATTTTATTTTTTTTCTTCCGGTGTGTGTGTGTGTGTGTATATATATATATATATATATATTATTCAATTCAATCGGTTGAGAATCAGTAGTACGTCTGCAGTTTTGTTAGGGCATATTTTGGGTGTTTGTTATATATGTTGGATCTGTTGTAGTATTTGGAAAGTACGCCGAATTTGTCGCAAGGGCTGAAACGTTTCCCACGGAAAGTGGGCATGCATGAAGCTCATCATGGTTGCTGCTAGTGATGATTAATTAGAAGATGCATATATAATATTTATTCTGACCTCCAATCTTGGTGTTATTGAGTTACAAACTAAGCTACCTGGCAAATGTTACGTAATTTATGTACACATCTATTAATGGGTAATACTTCTGTAAAACTGTCTCACGGAGTCACAGGTCTCAATCTGTGATGCAGGCCAAATCTTTAATTAATCGGTCAAAGCTTTGACTAATGGGTTGGATCAATTAATAAATATAGAATTCATGAAAATGAGTGTTTTGTCATCCTTTAGAATTCTATACATGAAAATTATTAGTTTTGATAAATATTACTCCGTAGTTGATAGATTAGGAAAATAAAATAAAGAAATTAGAGTTAGTGTAGTAGGAATAAGGGGCGTCCATTTTAGGTGTTTGACGCAGTGATTTGATGATGAAATGAAAATTTTGAAAGGAGGAAAAGTTAGGATTGGTGCGAGTAGGGCGGGGAGGAGCAGCACGTGGCGTGGGTGGGGGTCACACTGACTTCCATGTGCTTTGGATCTGATGCCGTAATAATTGTTAATTCAAAACGGCCAGGACCGAGGAAATGATCGGAGAATGTTGTGACTTTTAAATTAAATATTGTCATCTATATATCACCACAAAAGGAGACCAACAATTCGAGGTTTAAATATTGTCATCCACTCATATTTATTAATTCTTTTGTTTAGACTAAGATACAATAATTTTTACCATTTAAATCCTATTTTACAGCAAATTTAGGTGATTATTTAATATTTGTAAGATCTAATCTTAATTTGATTGATCAAAAAATTTGTAATTATCATTCAGAAAATGTGTTTTAAATGAAATCTGTCTTATAATTCAGATTAGTAAATAATCACAAAAAAGTAAATTAACATAAATTGTCTATTGTTGACCCGTTTAAACTTAACAAATTAAACGATTTGTCAAATTTAAAACTTGGTTAATTATTAACCTAAGTTTGATAAAACTTGTATGAGTAAAAATTCCCAACTATACAGTTCATTAGATTCTACTTTTCATGTAGATTAGGATTAGGTTTTACCACATGTAAGTACAGATGGGCATGCAGCAAGCAATTCAATTCAAGATCTATGTACTCATCAATACAAGATATTGACTTTGATTTTTTCCATTTCGAATTTTCATATTAAAACTATTGTGCATTTTTTTTATTATTTGTCATGTTTTATTCTATTATTATCTTTGTTTGCATGAATCTAAACTAGTAATTTGGTAAATTATATAGGCTGAGGATCGAAATTATATTCCATTAGTAAGCATTCTTAGCTTATTAAAATTTTAGATCTCATATCTTCATATCAATAAAGAGAATTGGGCAATGAGCCATATATATCTAAGCTTGATTGTTGTCTAAGCTAAACTTTTTTAGAGTATGATTAAAAAAAAAAAAACTCTAGAATTTATCAGAAAGCTTGCATTTACATAACCTGTTAATTGAAAGTACATAATATATTAATTGTATGTACATAATTTGAACCAGTGTCCACAATACGCATGGTGAATCCTGATCCATGATATAATTTGCGCTAAATCTTCTTCATGACATTGTCACAATCTTTAACTGTATGTCTCAATTAAGTTTATAGTAGTAAGTCTACTCAGTCTGTTTACTTATTGTAGTGGAAGAACTAAATTAATCATTATGTTTAGTAGAGATATTAAATTATGCATTTTATCATAGTAGGTAGGAATGATTGTATGCATATATATACCCCATTTTTCCAAAAATTTACAAGGACAAAAAATAAAAGAAATACGGAGCAACATAGTTTTATTTGTTTTTTTTCCCCCTTTTGAGTACTACTGACTCTGTTACAATGTAGTATCTGTCCATACGTACTTTTTCAACCTACTAAAGCACAAAGAGTTAATGTTCCAATTGGGGTTCGAACCTGTAAACTCCCATTTGGAAGAGTCACAATTATATATATTTATTTTGAGAGATTAGAGATTAGTATTTGTTAGGTATTTTTTTTTCCTTACCTACCATACTATATTCCTATATTACAAAATACGTTAATTCTCTATAAGACTCCATTAAGCACAACTCTCCTATTATTATACTGTATTTGTTTACGTTACGAAATTAAAAGTTATCATTAGATAGATAAGGAAAGAATTTGTACTATTAAATAATGATTAGGTAAGTAAAGATGTTTGATAAATCTTTGGTATAGCCAAAATAGAAGTGGCAGCATTATATGAAATGTGCTAAGTGCCAAGCACCGCCTAGGACGAGAGGTTGTTTGGTTAGGGCGAGAATGCAATTAAAAAAAAAAACAAGGATTCGGTGTCAGAATCTCCGAATATAGATGTTAAACGTAATCCTGGGGTGTCTTCCTCATACCTTATTCTCATCTTCCTAATTGGAAATTTGAAAGCTTGTTCGTTGTGGTGTACGTTTTTGTTGGTCATATGTCAGAGTCTGCAACTCCCTCTACTCATTTGCCACAACATATATGATATATCACACCTGCTGTCTCTTCTGCATACTTATTTTTTAGCGAGCTGAGTTATACTACATAAACTCTCAAATCTCTCTATCTCTCGCTTTTACTATCAGATATGACAAACAGTGATAAGTTATTTTCATCGTGTAAATCGCAAGAAAATGACTACATCAAAATTTGAGTGAGGAAGTAAAAGTTGAGAGTCCAAATAATATTTTTCTTCCCCTACAATAATGAATTAGTTAACTTAGTTTTCCAAATTTCTGAAAAATGAAAAAATGTTACATTTTTTAAATTGGAGATCTGCATGGTAAGTACTCCGTAATAAGCTTTTTAAATTTTTGTTGAGCGGAGGCCGGTAAAGGCCAAATTCAATACCTGGTGGTTGGGAGATTGTTTGGGGGAGGTCCGTAAAGAAATTAAATAGCCAAGTTTGGCATCCAACGTCTCAAAAATGTGTAGCGGTATAAGTAAATAAAGTTATGCATTTACTACTAGCTATATATAACTTTTAGCGGATAAGCACTTGATTCTAATAAGTGGTATCAGAACCCGGCATATAAATTTTGAAAGTTCTTGAAATTTTGACTTGTTCTACATATAACAACGGGAAAATGAACAAATAAAATGTAAAATAAGGAACGACAAGAGAATAAAAAGAAGAAAGAAGAAAATTATAGGAAAAAAAAAATCATGATTTATCAAGTTTTTGTTTTTTATAACAAAACTTGTGTAAAACCATCTCATGTAAAATATATAAAGTTTTATATGAATTCATAGAAAAATATTATATTTACGTTAAAAAGATAATACATATCTCATATGAAACAATAAATTACACTAAAAAGTATCAAACTACGCATTAATATTATCAATTTAAAATAATATACTTAAAATGAATTAGCACAAACCAGTAATCGTAAATGGATAGTTAAACAAGAATTTAAGCATGTCGAGCTTCAAGGGTGTGAAAAAAAAACTGAGATAGTTTATTAAATCTATTAACAATCATAACTATCTACAAACTACAATAATATAAACTTCTTTTTGTAAAAAAAAAAAAAAAAAAAAAAAAAAATCACTTTTGATCCATTTAATAGTACATGTATTGAATTTGTTTCCACTATCAACATTTTCAAATAGATACATGACTATGTAATTTGTATCACATTTAGTTATACTGTCCAAACTTTCGGTCAAATTTCTGACCAACTATTGCCGGAATTTCAACGAGAAAAATAATATATATGTTATAATTAAAGGGTATTTTCACAGCCAATTATTGCCGAAAAAATTATTATTCTCGTTGAAATTTCGGCAATAGTTGTCAAAAACCTGGCCGGAAAATTTGACGGCATGACCAAATGTATACAAATTACATAGTCATGCACCTGATTTAAAAATGAGTTAATCCAAAATTGTCCTTGACTATAGTGGTTTTTCTCAATTTTGTCCTAAACAACTTTGGTGACTTAATGTAGTCCTAGAGTTTTGTATTTTTACTCAATTTAGTCCTAGACTTTTGTGTTTTTGCTCAATTTAGTTCCCCATTTGTTATTCCGTCTATTTGTTGTTAAATAAATAGACAATTCAGTAATTTTAATATTGTCATCTCTTTACTCATAGATAGGTGAAGTGCAAAATCTTTTTTTTTTTTTAAATTACTCCCAGATCACTCCTAAACCTACGAATATAAAATTTGATTCGTAGGTTTGGGAGTAATTCTGGGTGTAATTCGTACAAGAAAGAGGGATTTCTCACTTCACATGTTGAAAGTAAAGAGAGGTCAATAGTGATATTATTGAATTGTCCATTTATTTAACACCAATTTGGCAGAATAACAAACGGAGGACCAAATTGAGCAAAACACAAAAGTCTGGGACTATATTGGGTCACCAAAGTCGTTTAGGACGAAATTGAGAAAAACCACTATAGTCGAGGACCATTTTGGGTATTAACTCATTTAAAAATATTAATAGTCATTGATCAAATATGATACAAATTACATAGTCAAGCACCTGATTTGAGATATTAATAGTCAATCACCAAATTTGATACATATACAATAGTCAAAGAATCAAAAGTGAAATTTTTTTTACTTTTTACTATTTTAATATTACAAGTTGAAAATGCACATTTTGAATTGTTTTAATATAAAAATTGTTAGGATATAATTTTTATTTTCAATCATAACTATCTACAATAATATTGCTGTTACCTTTTTTTTTTTTTAATTACAAATTGAAAATAACTTTTGATTATA